TGGAAGAACTATATATGTGGAAGAATGAATACACTTGACACACCATGAGGTTTATAACAATCAATTGTCCCAGCCATATGAAAACCTTTGTACTCTAGCATCTTTAAATCAAAAGCTTTCTTGTCTGAAAAACTTAATCCTTTTGTTGATGAACAACATAAGCATATCACAGTAATATATTTTTAATAAAAGTTTTTGAGGTGTCTCCCATAAGGCTTTGGAGGCCACTGAGGCTTCCTGTTAGTAAAAAAAATAGACTGTCATAACTTCACAGTCAGCTGCTCCTGTATTCACCAAAGGAAGCCTTAACCAGTAATTTTTCCAAATCCTTACTTACCGCAGCAAATTTCTGTTTACCTCTGAGAAAATCTGTTTTGATATTATTTTGATCAGCTGGCAACCCAGGTGGAAGCATGATTTTTAAATCTATAGCCTAGATTATATTATGAACAAATTATCCAAAAATGCAAAAAATAAAATAAACAAGAAAAATTGTTGGACTCAAATAAGAAACAACCAGTTAGGGATATAACAAACAAACAATGACAAGTACACTGTTTAACTGACTGGACAAACATCTTACAAAATTAGTGTGTGCTCAAATACATTTTAACCAAAGTGAATTATAGTAACACTTTACAATTTTAGAATTTATAACCATAAATAGACTAGTCAGATTTTGTTGTAAATCAATTAGCAGAGACCATTTTAAGAAGAATTTGGAACGAATAAAATCTTTTTTCTATTAATAATATATAATTTTGTATTTTACTTTGTTTTAAGAGTATTAGTAACTTTTGCATCTCTTTCATGTGACTTTCAGCTCAGGTGTCTCTATAGACTTAGTCAGCTACTCAGACTTTTGATTTATGATTTTGGTTACCATCTCCTGGACATTCTGGGTCAATTCCTTTAATTGGCCCGAGGTTGATTCTAGCCCCATTCTTGCTGTTTGTTGTGGTGTAGTCTCTGAGGCATCACTGTAATAGGGCTGAGCATCAGCTTTTTGAGAAGTGGAATCAACTCCTTCTCTCGGTCTGTCTCTAACACAGCCAGGCAGTATGTTCCGGTGTCTAGACAGGTCATTCAGCATTCTCTGGAAAGACGGGCACAGCCTTGACCCCAGCATAGCACTGAACTATGTCTCTTCCATTGTACAGTATGAGAATTTTTCCTAGCTGTTTTTTCTTTCACTTGGTTGAGTTGTCTTTCTGCTACTATACTTTCATATCTAGTAGGATTTTAAAAAATGATAGTATATATTGCCAAGTAAAGTCTATTACGAAGTACAAATTTTGTAGGGCATGATTCCCCCTTTAGTTTTGTAACTGAATTTAGAGCATAAGGTGACTGAGCATATTTAACAATTTTTAGTCTGTTGAATGGTAACTGAGAGAGTTACAGTGATAGTAGTTAGCAATCTGTAGTGCAGCAGTCCCCTCAGTGAAAGGAACTGGTAATTGGGAATAAGAATGTAAATGACCAGTAAAACAGGAAGCATGATGTGACCAAATAGTGAACTGGAGAGTGTACAAAGGATCTTCCTGGTTAGACAGAATGTTGGAAGTTTTAATGTGGTGTATCACGCCACAAACAAGCTCCGTCTGAAGAAAGGGTTAACTGGAACGGATGAATAATCATGTAAGTCCCATATAACAGCCTGAAATTTTGTGTTTTGCAAGAAGAAAAGCTCATGTCCTGTATTTGGCCACCCAGGGCTCTTATTCATTGTTTTTGCCTCCAGCTGAGGCTCCCACATCTCCACCAGGGATGTGGGTCAGCTCCCCTGATGGTTGTTGCTTGTTGGTCTGAGGCGAGAAATGTTTTATCTCAGCCTTGTGCTCTAGCACCAATACTTGGTGGCAGTGACCAGGAGAGGTCAGTGCTGGCCTTGCAGCCGGGATGGCCTCCATTGCTGGTGCACATGTAGTATGAAAAATATGCAGTAGTTTAATATATGGCTAATAAAAATGTGCAGTATTAGCATATTGAAAACTAAAGTATTTTTATAAGAAAGCAAAAAAGACATAAATAAATGTAGAGTCATATTGGTCATGAATTTGAAGTACCCCTAAAGTAAACAGCAATTTTTAAAAACAACAGAGTTTGAGAATTTACATTACTAGCCATCAAGACTTACTACAAAGCCCCAGTGAGACAGGGACATGCTGGAGCCAGCCTACTACCAGCTCGCAAAAGGTGGATGTTGAGTTTTCAGTTTCACAAGTTGGTTGTTGTTGTGTTGATTATTTGAACTTATCTGCCATGAGAGTATTTTTTTAAACAAAAATGAGCAAACCACAAATCAGAAACACACCATGCCCCCAAGCACTAGAAGCCTGCTGCACCAAGCAGGGCCCTGACACTTCCAGGAAACTCTCTGAGCTGTAGCACCTCTGCTGTTAGCAGGGCTGTGGCAGGCTCATACAGGAAGCTTCCTGGAATAGCTTGGCCTTTCACATCAGTTTTGAATTTACCCTCATTTTCCCAATGGCACCTACTCCCACTTTGCAGATACTAGAAAGTCTTGTTAAAAGGACAGATAATGCGTGTGCTGCCCTTACAGGTGCAGCAGAACAATCTTGGGCAAAATGTCCCTTGCTTGCACAGCTGAAATAAGTGACCTTGTTCTTTCCCTTTTCTCTAGGCTGTGTTCTGGTAACCTGAGTAACAGCTATTGCCAAGGCAGCCACTCGTGCAGAAGAAGGGCTAATATCTGCACAAATTTGAATCATCTCAGATAACATAGCCCATTTTGGGTGGACTCTTAAAGCTTCTTTATACCATTCATTTGCATTTTAAAAGACCAACTGTTCAGCAATTAACTTAAAGGATGAGTATTTTATGAAGAGTGAAAATCTCCACCTGTAATATAGCAAAATTTCTCTGAACTGAGAAGGTGACAATCACTGCTTGTGGCTCAGTTGAGGTTATCAGGGTTGCTGTTGTTCTGCCATCTTTTTTCCTCTCAGGGTTTGATTTTAAAAAGTGCTTTGAGCCAATTCTTCTGTGCTTGTGAGACTTCCTTTAATTGAAATTCACAAAACAGAAGCATACAGGAATCAAGTGTACAACAAACAGACCCATATACATTCGTGATTCTCAAGACTGCACGATGCTCAAAAACTGGTAAAATCAGTGCATCTCTTTCCTTTAGTCTCTGGTGAGCTTGTGTATATTTCCTGGCCCTAATGAATGCATTTTGCTTTTTGCCCCAAGTCTAACACCCGATGATATCATTATCAATACATTCCTGTTACGAATATTGATGCATCAACCCGCTTCCCCCTCCTTCTGCAAGCACAGTGAGAAGTGTTATCTCACCCACTGCTTCTTCTTATCCTGGCCAAGTTCAGGCATAACATGCTGCATACCAGTGCAGCTTTTGAAGTTCTTGAGGGGAAGGCAGGTAAGAATAAAGAAAAGAGACAAAGATGAGGTCAGGGAGAGCCTTTTCTCTGAATGGGGGAAAGGAACTGCTCAACTGCTGTAATGCACTTGTTTAAATATTAGCAACTCAGTGTCATGTGATACCCTGTTGCCTCGTAATCTGCATCCATAGAACTGAAGGGTTTAGTGTTCTCAGGACCTGTTTGCCCAAAGCCCTCATGGTTCACCAATGAGGCTTACCTTGCCCCCTGCATATATAATCAGTCTCCAGCTTAAGCCCCTGTCTGCAACATTCACTCTCCAACAAAACAGAAAAGGACATTCCATTTGTTTTTTAAATTTTATTTAAGGAGAAAAAAAAAAAGCAGAGAAAGGGTACAAGTTATACAGGTTTACAGAAAAAAATAAACAGTAGGAAATCACTAGTTAATGGATTACATATTGTCATCTTAGAAATAATTGTTCAAATCACAAAATTAAAGCTTATAGAGTGGATATTCCAACAGTGAGACTGCAAACAGTTCTGTTCAATGATCCAATAAAACTCAGTGATATCATTTTCTATCTTATACACTTAAATATACATGCAGTTATATCGTTTAGAGCACTTTCTTTTCCTCTCTTTTGTACAATGACAATTACACATTTAGGGTTTTGTTGCTCCCACGGTTCTTATTACTTTTTCAGAAGGGAGTAGAACCAAATGTGACCTAACAGAACAGAGTCAATCAAATCAAAAGGGTGGACATAATAGATAATGTAAAAGCATAATACAAGGTGATCAATAATGGTTACCATAATGCCTCCCGCTATCTCTAATAGAATTGCCTATATCATCAGTTATTATAAAATTGAACAAAACAGTAAAGAACAAAACTGACAAAACCAAAACATTGGAGACATTATAGGTCTTCAAAAGTAGATAAAAGTCAACGAGAATGGGTGTCATAATGAATCTCACTATCTTCACAGCTGTTGCCTAAACTTTCAAACCTGGTACTATCAAGCAAAACAGAATAGGGGGACATCAGTCAAAAACAAGATGGTGAGAGTAATACCGGGCTTTAAATCAAGATAATGGAAAGTCAGAGTAGGTTACTATAATATATCCTGCTATTTTTTATTTATTTTTCCCTTAATTAAAAGGATAAAAATAAAAAAGTAAATAATGAAGTGGAGATTGAGATAAAAGAGGGCATAACAGCAAAACAGCGCAGATCAAAACATAATCATTTAAGCAGAATAGTGTTTCACCACAAGATAATCCTGACATAAAAGTAGTTACCATATTGTCTCTTTCCTTGAAATCTTTGAGTATAACTTCGTATACTATAGCATCAAATATATCAAAACAATGTAAAACCATTTAAGAGAATGACAGCTTTACAGGGTATTTAGAATCAACTAACAGAAAATGAACAATGGTTTCTGTATAATCCCCTTGTCTTTAAAAGTTTTTGCTTATACTATCGTACATAATAAAATCCAATAAGATACAACCTGTTTAGACCAATGGAGACAGAAGAACAAAAGCTTGATGAGACTTCAAGATGATACTAAATCAGTATTACCTCTTAAGACGTCATTTTCTTTGTGCCCTTCATGTGAAGCCTGTGTGCCCACCAACACCTGGTGTGGATAATGCTGTGGACATTTGGTAATGCCAGTTATCTTGGAACACCTGGTGTGACAGAGCTTGGAGGCATCACAGACCTTCCTGCAAATTCAGGTATCTACTCTAAGCATCTTCTCAGAGGTGGTTCTAGTACAAAGCCATCATCTGATGTGAATTAGATTATAGAAGGCCATCAAACAAGGCACAGACATACTCGTTTACTGTGAGATTTGGAGAGGAAAAGCAAGAATCTTTTTGAGTCATGTATATTTTGGGAGGAGGCAAGGTTGGGTGTGCTGTACTATTGGTAAAAGTGTGACTCCATGTATACTCACAGCTATTGGTCATTGAATGTTTTCTGTGAGTCAGAAGAGACTGATGCATGACACCTCTTACATCTAAGGATCCCTGCAATGAAGACATGATCTTTTTTATCATTTCTTAAATGGGGAAGCTAAGGTTCAGAATCATTTAATAACTTATGTGGCATATCACTGCTTGTATCAGTGGCTGCCAATCAATATAGACTGATTCTAAAATTTATCCTTTGTCATTATTCCTTAATTCTTCCTTTAAGGGTTAAAACTGATCCAGGAAAGGTAGGAACAAGGATATCAGAGGGCAACAGACTCAAGGCATTCTACATGTGGCCTCTCTCTCTCTCTCTCTCTCTTTGTATATGATCAGGATTGACTTTCACTTGAAGTTATTTGGATGTATTGGGGTAAGGTGCAGTGCCTATATACTTTACCATTCCTTAAGAAACCAAGTTTCTCTCATAATATTAGTGTATCCCAAGAAAGTCTTTTTTAAAAAAAAATCCTGCTTTGCAAAACAAACAGTACTAGACATAAAAGAAAATCAAGCCTCAACACAGTTAATAGTTGACCTCAGCACCTCAATTTCAGATTTGTAGATGAACTAAAGAAAAAAATTAAATAAATGTCAGAGATGAGCTACAATTTTGAATAAATGCACTTTATCTACAGAGTGTTCTACCCTACAGTCTCAGCAATACATGGAACTTTTCCCAAAACAGTCCACATAGTAGTACATAAAATGTACTTAAATAAATACCAAAGAATTGAAATCATTCCATGCATACTATCAGACTATAGCACATTAAAACTAGAAATCAATCACAAAAAAACTCACAGAAAGTCTTCCAGTACCTGGATTTTCAATAACATACAACTGAATACATTATGGGTCACAGAAGAAATCAAGGAAATAATTAAACAGTTCTTAAAATAAAATAATAATGTCAATACAACACACCAGAACCCATGGGACACAATGAAAATAGTCCTAAGATGGAAATTTATTGCTGTGAATGCTTACATTAGAAAAACAGAGTGATCTCAAATAAATAATCTAGTAATATACCTTAAGATGCATGTACCTTGTAAAAAGCAAGAACACTCTAAAAGTAGTCCTAGTACAAGAAATCATAAAAAGCAGAGCAGAAATAAATGCAATCAAGACTTAAAAAATACAAAGGATCAGTGACTTGAAGAGCTGGCTCTTTGAAAGAATAAACAAAATGGACAAACTCATAACTCAACTTACCAAATGAAGGAAAGAAAAGACCATGTTAATTAGAAATGAAAAAGACAAAATATCATAACAGACAACCCCCAAGTTGAAATTAGTAATAACTACTATGAAAAATTGTGCTCCAAATTTAGAGAATCTTTAAGAAACGGACATATATGTTCCTCAACATATATGAATTATCAAAACTCAACCAAATAGACATTAAAACTGAACAATCTACTAACAGGCAAGAAAATTAATGCAAAAACCTCCCCCCCCCCCAAAGAAACCAAAAAAACTACCTCCTGAGAAAAGCCCAGAACCTGACAGATTCATTGCTGAATTCTATAAGAACTTCAGGGAGGATATAATCCAGTATTCCTCCAACCCTTCAGTGATACTGAAAATGAAGGAGTGCTTCCAAACTCATTCTTGGAAGCTAACATTACCCTAAATTCCAAAACCAGACAAGGATCAGAGTAAAACCAAAACCTACAAGCCAATCTCTTTAACAAATATAAACGCAAAACTTCTCAACAAGATATTGGCAAATAATGCAATAAATATTCAAAAAGATCACAGATCATGACCAAGTGATCCCAGGGATGCGAGGATTGTTCAGCATGTGAAAACCTGTAAGTGTAACACACCGTGTACACAGAAGCAGGGACAAAAATCATGTTATAATTTCGGTGGATGCAGAAAGAGTCTTTGACAAAATTCAACATCCATTCATGATAAAAACTCTGAAGAAAATACATATAAAGGGGTTTATCTCAATCTGATAAAAAAAACCATGTATGACAAATCAACTACCAACATTATGTTAAATGGGAAAAAGCTGAAAACTTTCCTTCTAAAATCAGGTGCAAGATATGGATGTCCCCTATCAGCACTCAATATAGTACTTTAAAAATTAGCCAAAGAAATGAGACAAGAAAAAGAAATAAAAGCGACACACATAGGAAAGGAAGAAATCAGATCATCTTTATATGCATGTGATATGATCTTCTATATAGAAGACACAAAAATTTCACCAAAAGACTCCAGAATTAATGTCTATATTCAATAATGTAGCAAGATATAAAATGAGCACACAGATATCAACAGCATTCCTGTACACCAATAATGAATCCACCAAGAAATAAATTAGGTAAAGAGTACCATTCACAATAATATTAAGAAAAATTAAATACTTAGGAAATACTTTAATCAAGGAAGTAAAAACTGTCTACATGAAAAGTACAGAACTCTGAAAAATGAGATTAAAGAGGCATCAGAAAATGGAAAGACACCCCTGTTCCTGGTTATAGGCAGAACTATAATTGTCAAAATGGTCATACTTCCAAAACTGATACATAGATTTAATACAATTCCAGTCAAAATACCAGTAGCACTCCTCACAGAGCGAGGAATGAGAACAGAGCAGGAACAGCAAGAGTCACTCTTGGAAATGAGAGAAAGAGAAAATATCATAATGTCAGATTCAAAATAATATTGAAAAGCCACCAATCCCGCTTGAGAGGGGGATACGTGGCTGAAGTCGCCCCAGTGCCCCGCTCCCGCAAGTCTGCCCAGTCCCAGAATGTCCTCCGCTGGAGTCAAACTGTGGTAGAGTGTCAGTTTCTCTCACTCACCTCACTGCAAGTCAATGCACAGCTCCTCACCTGTCCTGTTTTCAATTCTGTTCGCCGATTCCCGTTCTCAGGTCTCTCTCTCTGCTGAGCTGATGTAGATGCAGCTGCCGTGCGGCGGGAAACCCAAATCGCGGCTTCCAATGGCGCGGGCTCCAGCCTCCACACTGAGGCCCCTCTGTTCCTGTTCTAGCACCAGGACTGCATTCCAAGTTGGTTTCTCTCAGCCCAGTTCGTTCCTGGGTCAGCAGAGCATATCTCCACCTGCTTATGACTCCTTAGTCCGCACCATTCCTAATTTCTAAGCCGAGTCTTTCAGAGAGCCTCCATAGCTGCTGCCGCTATCTGTCCACCATGTTCTCCCCCATTCCATTGTTTTTTGTTTAACCTGGTATATCAGAAAATATTTACTTTGCAAAACTTCCAATTCTAATCTCAGCAGTTATAAAAATTCCCATTCTGATGAATTTTATCTTTGACCAGAAGCTTTGTTTCTACAAACACTTTCATTAGTGATAACATTGAAGAAAAGAATACTTGATTTATGCTCTGACAGGCAACCAATTGGGAAAAAATTTACCAACTACTACATGTTTCTTATTAGACTCTTAAAAAAAATATCAGAAATAAAATGCCGGGAATACAGGTTTCTTTTCAATGTTTTCTATCGAATTTTTCAAATAGAAACACTGGAGTCCAGTGAAATAAAGTAATTTGCCCAAAGCCACATAACCAAGAAATGTTTTGCCAGGGAAAGGCTCACTTTTTACACTCCAGGCTTCAGTGCAAGAATGTATTTTTATTATTCAAGGTTAATTTTAAAATGCATGAATAGTATTTTGGGTTATGAAAACTCTGAGACCCTAAGAGAAAATCTTGAAAGAGAGGAATAAGTGAATTGTAGATGCCAAAAGGGCAGATTTTCCAAATTGAAATGGATGAATTAGTAAGAAAAGAGTATGACCAACTGAGAGAAAAAAGAGGATGTTTTTCTGGTTTGTCTTGTGTTTGTTTGTTCTGGCAAGAGAATATGACAAAGTAAAACATATGACAATATCAAGAAGTACTCCAGAGCCAGAGAAAAGTTTCACTAGGTTAAATTCTGGATGGTAAATCTGATGTTTGCAATAAGAAGCATTATAGAGAGTTTCTACTGATGAAGATAATGGTCATCTTTAGTTAGGATTATTTTTGTAACAGCAAATGCAATACCTTCCCATTTTAACATAATTTATGACTGAAAGAATTGCACTTAGACATGGTGTCTGAAATTCATCCAAAATTTTGACATTTTTCTGTAACTTATGTGTGTGAGGAACATTCTCTACTATATTAGCCTTAAGAGCCCCTCCCAAGTGACACTCAGCTGGAGTGAACCTTTTCAGATAAAAAAAATGGTTGGGGTCCATGAAATCCATTTCATTGATTGCATGGTGCCACCAAATTTCCAAGTATGTGCTTCTGTAAAGAGAAAACCTGTATGACCTAGAATTAGAATAATATCTGAATTCTCATGTCCCTAAATAAGTCCTACTATAATACATAAAGGAACAAAACAACCTAAAAGTGGAAAAGTATATGCTACTGATGCTGCATGGTGTCCAAAAAAGTCAAGTGAGTCAGCTCATCTACCATCTGCCATGCGATAAGGCTTATCTCTGTCTCTCTGTCTCTCTGTCTCTCTGTCTCTCTGTCTCTCTCTCTCTCTCTCTCTCTCTCTCTCTCTCTCTCTCTCTCTCTCCTCTCTCCCCTCCCCAGCACATTTGGAGAGAAAACATTCATTTAATTTCCATTTAAGCTCTATAAACCTCTAAGAGTTCAGGGTATTAATAAACATCAAGCATAGATCATTATAAGTCAAGAATATTCTATAATGTGGCTCAGAAATTTAAAGGAGATTTTATGTGAAAACACAAATATTATTCTGTCTTTATTCAAAGAAATTCTAAAACTTAAAATTTAGGGAAAAAGAATGTTGCTGCATATAAACCATGACCTTTTTTTGACGGTTCCTTGGCAAGCATTGGAGAAAACTGAGAAGTTGGCTTAAACCAGTCTCTACTCTGAGGCTGGTAACAGAGGGATTGGAAAGTGAACTCTGCTGAGAGTGAGCCCAGGGACTCCAGTCTGAGGGCACATTTTTAAACCACCTGTACTCTTTTAAGCAGCTTAAAACCTTGGACTAAACTTCCCCTTGCTAATCAGTGCAACTGGGCTAATTATACTTAAAATGGTCTGGAAAGTTCATTCTCTGTCTTGATTAGGCTGTGGAAATATGTGTCCCCTGCCCATTACATTCATCATCACAATGTATTTGAGGCTTACTATCGCCTAAACGCAAGACCTGATAGGCAGTAGTCATTCAATGGAAATTTTGAAATATAATTGAATAAGGAAAAAAGAGGAACTAAACAAGGCACTCAGATTTACTGAACACCCAAAAGTAAAAAAAAAATATTGAAAATTAAACAGCTGAAAGCAAGGAGAGGACATAAAAAGACATTAACCTCATAGTTTTCCACAGTTGGTTGTAAATTTGCTTATGAACCTAAGTAAATTATGAAACAAATACTTTTGGCTACTGCAGACTGGATTACCTGACCTTGTATTGCCCTCTTTCCCTGCTCTCCACAGCTAATGACCGACTGCAGGGCTGTCCAAGGGAATTTCAGCAAAGATGGAAAATTCTCATGTGCCTCGCTCAGTATGGTAGCCATTAACTAACTACATGGGCTGTCGAGATGGAGAAATGTGGCTAGATGGGAGAGCTAAATTTTTCACTTTACTTACGTTAATTAATTTTTAAAATTGAATTAATGTATAATGAATTAGTCACACTTGAATAATGACTACTGTATTCAACAAACACAGATCCATTCATTGTGGGACCAGACAGTTTCTTAGACAACACAGTGACTCCAAATAATATATGCCTAAGAAAAGAAATCTTAAGTAAAGTGATTCTAATTTTCAAAATTGAGTTTTTATTTCCTATGACTTGGAACTTAGCATATCTTTTTGATAAGTCTCTGTGTGTCCTTTCACAACAACTGAAAACAGGATTTAATTGCACTGTGTTAAACACAATCTTTCTGTGATTCCGTGTCCTTATTTGTAAAATGAAATCTTTGGACTGCACCAATTTTTTTTTTTCTGTTGCTGTTTTGTTTTGTTTTTGCCCAGCTGCAGAGATCCGGAGCAAACTGGAATGGACTCCTGGGAAGAACACAACACACATATGAGGGCAAATCTCATCTGCTAACCCCTGGGTCAGCCTCAGAATCTCTCCAGCATGCTTTCCTGTTCCTCTGAACATCTCAACCTTTCTCCTCCCTCCATGGCTCAAACAATTTCTCTTGCTTGATAGGTTTAATCTTCTGCGTTTGTACTACCCGGAAGATCTGTTTAAACAGAGTTGAGACATAATTAAGAGCAGAACTCAAAGCTGTCTAAAAAACAGACTCAAAAGGTTAGTTGGAGATCAGAAGGGAAGCAGAGTATTGTAAACTTGGAACGAACAACTCCAAAGACAGGAAACATGTTTTTCTTTCACAAAATCCAATTAATTCTTTTTTGAAAGTTTCTCTGTACATAAAAGAGCTGCAGTGATAGCAGTGTAGATCTGTGACGTGGCCACCTAGAGTCTGCTGAAGAAACATAATTTGGAAAATGTTCTCTGGTCCCTCCGGCTCCCCCGGTTCCTCACACCCTGATGCAGACGAGGGTCACACCAGTGCCACCTGCTGGGAAGAATAGAAATAGCAGGACAGAGACCTGATTCAAAGAACATCAACTGAGCAAAGACTGAGATGTCAAATATAATTTAAATTTTATTATAGTATCTAGAAGTTTTAACATGTGTAAGGTTATAAATAATTCTACTTAACATTATCAGAAAAGGCCGAATTTAAATCTGTATTTGGTTTTCCTGAATTTTAAATGATAGGTATTATATGATTTTGTTTCAAAATATCCAAGAAATAACAAAAGAATAAAGCACTGGCCTATATTCTAACGTCATGGTTTTGTTTCGGCTTTGGTCTTGACCCCAGATCTGTCACTAGTCTAAAACATTTATTTCCATTCACTGTATCCTAGCTAAGACATTCCTTAACTTTAAGAAGAGATCTTAGTATTTAAAATGATAAACCAGAGAAGCAAATCCTTTTACTTTGCTTAAAAATGAAATTATGACATATGTTACTCTGAACCATGAAAATAGTGTTCCTGTAAGTCTGCTATGGGTTTTAAATTTAGAAAATAAATTGAAAATCTTTTGAGCTCTTATAAAGCTTAGTAGATGACTTCAGCAAAATTGCCAGATAATATACTTAAACCCATTTAATGTATTAAGAATTCAAGAGAAAAAATATCTATGACTAGGAAGTAAACAGCACTGCCCTTTAAAATGCTTCAGGGATGTGATGGGGAGGAGTTTGAATGTAATTTTAAGCTATACTGAGATATCTCTAAATTTGACTTAAATATAATTCTTATAGTATCGATGTATTAAAATCATAATCCTAAGAACTCTCCTACTGCCTGTAGAATTCTATTGAAGTGCTGTTCCAGCATAATGATCTAAAGACACAGCAACAGCTCTGCTCAGTGACTGATCACTAGCGTGTTTCTCTGAGTTCATTCACCCAACAGTTTTTTCTTTGTGCAATCACCTGCGTATACAGGAATTAAGTTTTTTAATGTCTTAAATTGCACCACACAGAAGATCATTCACTGTTCTCTATACTGTCATGCAAAAGCCTATGAGTTTAAAGTAGAAAATGAAATTTCTCCGTCCAATTAGCTGCGATAGTATTTTAAGGATAATCATCCGGCATTCAGGTATGCTACTATGTTGAGCTTTCTGCCACTCCACCTTATAAGTTTTAGCAAAGTTCTCTGCCCTTAAAGTGCATTTGTCAGAGAAGGGCTCGTAAAGGGGCACCATGTGTTTCATGCTGTGCCAGTGAGGATGATAGAGTTGGGGTTAAATTCCTCAGCACGCCCTGCTGGGTTGTCATAGCTTGTGCTTTTCCTAAAACCTCAAAATAGCTTATAATGCCACGTACCATATGTGGAGTAATAATTAGGCTTACCAGGGTATTTTTTTGTTGGACAATTACTTTGGCACAGGCAAGAGCCATAAAATTCAGCTTTTTATGCAAAGATATCCAGCTTTTTAAAAATGCTTTAAAAATCATAACTGTAATATCACTTGAAAGCTTGGCATTTTCAGAGCTAACTAATGGGCATCTTGGAGAATGGAGTTTTATGCATTTTTTTTCCTTTCTGGGACATCTACCAGAATTTGGGAACCAAAGGGATAATATAAATCCGCAATCATGAGCAATAAAAATGAAATCGAGGGTAGATATTTTAAAGGTATCACTTAAAATGAAATTTTTAAAAATAATTCAGAACTTCAAACAAACATTAAATATGAAAACATTATAAGTAAAGAACATTTGAATGAATATTTGATGGAATGAATCTGGATCCAGGAGTCAAGAGGCAATACTGTATTTTTTCTAATAGAGTCCCTCTATCAGGTCTATGCCTATGGATGCATAGAATCTCTGTGATTTCTCCCACATACCGATTTCATTTGAAGTTGCTCTTGTGAGTTTGAATTACACCATATCAACCCCCTTCCAGGTGCATCTAACACATATGTTGTCTGATTCTCCCACACTATCAGTATAAAACAAGTAAGTTATTGGAAATGACTAGGGAAAAGAAAGGAAAATTTAAATGTTTGTAGAATAAGATCAGGTTGGTTTAAACCCAGCTTTTTCAGATCAAGAAAAACAATGAAAGTTAAAAATCACTTCTCTATACTTTATACACACACACACACACACACACACACACACACACACACATACAGTACATTTGCTCAAATCAGGAAGTCTAAGACAAGGTCCTTCAGGACTGCAAGCTGCAAGAGTAGGATGGTGCTCTGCAAAAAATAATTTAAAAACTACTTGTAATTACTTAAGAAATTTATTCTCTTTGATCTGTAGCTTCTGCAAAGTCCTGGTATCTTTTAATGTGAATATTAAGTTAAAATTCACAGGGCAAGGCAAAAAACTATAAGTATGCATTGCACAGTGAACCTGTGTACCCCAAATATTATTTTTAGCCATTTACAAACCATCTATATTCTGGTTAATGTGTGTGCACTTTAGCTTACATTTTTATGGGAGAAAGCAAGTTCCTAACATGATGTTTAATATCTCTAAGTGTTTTGCAAAGGACTAAATATATTCATATATATACATGTGTGTGTGTATGTGCATTCTTACACCTATGTGTGACGTGTTTGTATTTATTTATAATCTGGATGCATATTTTGCTATTCTGTATATGCAAACAGTAAAATTTAAATACAAACCATACAAAACATTTTTTTTACCCCTAGTAGGAAGTGGGTAGCCTTTTATGAGTCAATCAAAGTTTCATAAATCAATGCATATGGTTTAAAATCATTTATCCTCTCTAAGGAGAAATTGAGAAAATACATAGGTTCTTTGTGTGCGCACACTTTTACAAAATGGAAAAAAAATGACCCTTAAAATTACATAGTAAAGCAACATAAAGTCAGCTAGTTTGGAGTCTGAATCTCATTGTTGGTATGACTCAGTATTAGAATCCTAGATCTTGTTGTGGTATTATTTCCAAGACTGCGTAATCTTGGAAAATTGTTCAGCTCCTGAAGTCTCAGTTTTCTGCACAGAAAATTTCTTGCTTTTCTTCAACACACATTTCCTCCTCCTAAAGCTGTGTAAAAGTAGGCACTTGCCACTAAGTCTTTAGAAATAATTTCATGCTTCTCAATTGATCACAGCCAATCGTTAGTGCGGTTATTGTCTATATGGACCCTATAAGCCTCATGCACTCATAGGTCAGGCTTCTGGGAGATGATTGGGTTACAGTGTGTCAAGCTCATCAGCAGATTAGTCCACTGATGAGTTTATAGCTAAATATGACAGTCGAAGTTGAAACCTGGATGGAGGCTATGAAGGAGCTGTCTCTTCCTGGAGGGGTGTCTTTCCTGCTGCTTCTCTATGTCTCTCTCTGTCTCTCTCTCTGTCTCTCTCTCTGTCTCCTTCTGTCTCTCTGTCTCTGTCTCTGTCTCTCTGTCTCTGTCTCTCGGTCTCTGTCTCTCTCTCTGTCTCTCTCTGTCTCTGTCTCTCTGTCTCTCTGTCTCTGTCTTTCTGTCTCTCTCTCGGTCTGTCTGTCTCTGTCTCTCTGTCTGTCTGTCTCTCTGTCTCTCTCTGTCTCTGTCTCTGTCTGTCTCTGTCTCTCTCTGTCTCTCTCTCTCTCTCTCTCTCTCTCTCTCTCTCTCTGTCTCTCTGTCTCTCTCTCTCTCTCTCCTTCCTACCTGCCATGCCGTGAGGTCTTTCTGCTCTGCTGTGTTCCTCACTATGCAGCTCCACCTGGCAACCCCTAGGGACTGAAACTTCTATAAACCAAAATAACTTTCCTCCTTAGAGCTGTGGCTGTAGGGTATTGTGTCTCAGCAGTGAGAAAGTAACTAGGACACTCTTTTATCAATTTAAACTTGTTCAAAGGACGAGTCTTTTCCAAGACTCTGCTTTGCCAAAATATGTCATCATCAGAGAAACTGGAAGAATAGGAGTCTTTCTTTCTTTCCACCCACCTTTTTATTCTTTCATGCAGTCATTTGCTGATCAAATGGCTTATGAGGGTTTGAGTGTAGATGAGTATGAGAGTTCTCTGGAAAACTATAGCAGAATAGAGGATGCGAGTGTATATAATTGTTAATTTGGAAAGTCTCAAAATCATGACCAGTTTTCTGTATTTACTTTGAATTATTGCACAGTTCCAGGTAATCAGAAAAAGTAATTTATTCCATAACTATAAGGTGTATAACTGTTTATGAAGTCCCTTATCTCATCTGTCCCTGGAAAATCCATGATTATTATTTTCAGCTCGAAGATGTTCAGAGACACTCACAGATTGGCAAGACATGAAACTGGCCTCAACGTTTGTGCTGCAGAAGTGTATTTATACCACTGCTGCTGGATTAGTGAGCTGCCCGCTACTAGAATGAAATATCCAACACTCACAATTTGAAACAGGGCAGACTTAATTTCTCACTGTTCCGGTCCATATTCAGCAGACCCCAAGGGAGAGATGTGATGGCAGAAGAGTGTGATGGACCAAAGCTACACACTTTATGCGGACAAGGAGAGCAGAGGAAGAGTGCCAGAGAGGAAAGGACAATGGACCAGGTACAGCACCCTGGTCAAGCCTTCAGCCCCAACCTGACACACCCAGACGTGCGCTCCACCCACCACCAGGGCAGATTCCAAAGCCAGTCAAGTTGAGATTCCTCCAAAACTGCCACAGCTGAGATTAGCACAATGGTAGAGACCTTGTTTACTGTACTGCGGAGCTTAGTTCACACCTAAAACCCATAAAATGCATATTTAATCTGAAAGAAGTATACCGATTTTGTATTGTAATTGTTCGTGTTATTGTGTGAAGAGAAGAATCACAGTATTTATAGGCTTTCAACCTCACAAATTTGGTTTGACCCCACCGTAGCTGTGCTGCTTCTTTACATTGGTTTTGTTTTATTCGTTGATTCCTTGCTCTGTGTTATAAAGCTATGGCTTTCACCGAGAGTCTTTAAAATATCCAAACTAGTGGTTCTTAACATTACTGTGTTCAAAAGCTTTCTGAAGCAATTTTAAGGAATGTGATTCGCAAATTTCCACACTGAAATGTTTGTTTCAGTGTCTAGTGTGCAAACTTGCAAACATGCATGCACACACACACACACACACACACACACACACACACACCTGCATATATGAATTTTTCTTGAGTCTTTTTATCACATATTAAACATCAAATAAAAGGTAAGAACTTTGAAATTGCTAACAGTCTTATAATCTACCTACTAGTAAAACATTTTACTTTAAGGCGATCTGAAGTTTTGCTGCTATGTTGTTTGGCTTTCTTTTCTGAATAACGACAACTACCATGTGTCTAGATTAAGATAAAAGACTCAGTTAACTCCTCTCTTTAAAATTAAATAGTCCTCTGAGCAGACATTAGAAGGCTTTGACTATATTTACCAACCTTGCCTTGGACTCAACTGACCATTTAGCGTAGTGGTCAGTAAACTTGTCCTTAAACTTCAGTTCTATTTTCCTAAAGACTACAATAAAAATGGGTCCAAAATAAAGTGTAAATGGTTCCCAAATCTCCATTTTGTAGACCCTGATACATAAGAATTTTGTAATTCTAATGCCTGTGTCTTTTTTTGACTCCAGTTTCTATTTTAAATTCTATTCCTCACAGAAGACCCCTAATTCCTGCGAGCCACGTGACTTCCCCGTATCCCTGAAGTTCCATCTGCTGTAAGGCAAGAACTGCAAAATAGCCATTAAAATCTGTAGAGATGCCAGCTGCTGCCTACTGCTGTCTGTGAATCATTCAATATTATAAATATTACCTATGTGTTGAAAAGCCTGCGATCTGACAGAAAGTAGCTCCAATGTTTAGCATCATAACTGTCTTCATGACCTAGAGAACTACAATATTTAAATGTTATATCACCTAAGAACAGTGGCTTCCAAAAGAGTCTAATGATTTCTCTTCCTTGTTCCATCCAGTCATTTTGGCAAACTCAGCCACGGATCAAAAGTCCTGCAAGACATAATTCTTTTTAAGTTTTGTTTTCCCCCAATTAAACACTGAAAGATAGCTGTCCCAAAACAAATTACTCAGTGATGTTGAAGCTAGTGGGACAGAAAGGTAGACAGATGAGTAATAGAAAATACATAGAGCAGTCTAGGGTTAGTAGAAAGTGATGGCAGATAATCATTGTATTCAATTAGAAATTAATTGAAGGGATGAAAAACTACTTCCTGCCCATTTATTTACTCAATGGCAAGACTTCTTTACTCATTGTAATTTAATAGTTATTTGATAAAAATTGTAAGTTGAGAATAATTGGATATAAATAATTAATTCTCAATGATAACTTATATTTATTACTAAAAAGTATTTAAATTAGTTAAATAATTTTATGAAATATTAAACTGCTTAATGATTTAAATTGTATGTATTTTATTTATATACATGATTATTATCTTTTTCTAGAAGATATAGGAATATGTAATGTTTTTCATATAATGTAAGACCTTATGATGCATACCACTTATAAATTATTACATGAAAATAGAAATTGTTCTGAAACCAAAATATATATTAGATGTTACTTTCAATAACATGATCTATTACAAATAATAGATCTATAGACAAGATCTATTACTAAATGTTGAGACTCACAGTACAACCCAGCATACCACCTGCTGTTTGAAAGAGAAAATTCAATTTAATGTGCTCAGTTTGCAATTAGGAAAATGAAAGCTCAAAGCTTGGTGTTAATTATAATCATCATAGGAATAAAGCACTATCATCAATACCATCTCTCAATTTGTAGGGCTTTTAAATAATTCATTTTGGTGTATTATTGCAGCTTTTTACATATACTGTTATTAAGAAAAAAGAACAAGATATAAATAGACACTCTCCATCAAAAAAATAAAACCAAGTCAAATAACACTTTCAAGTTGAATATTCTACTGCGCTGGAAAAATGAGCAGTGTGGTCTGGAGATGAGTTGTCCCCTGCCAGGCTCAATTGTCAAAGGCTGAGTATATCATGAGGCCAGGGTCAAAGAGGATGGGTGCATGCTGTGCCAGCATGACCCTTGAGGTTCCTGGGGTGAAGAGCATGAGAAAAAACAGAAAGCACAAAAGCTGGAGTCAGGTGGAGCCTCTCTCTCTGGATGAGAGGGAGGAAATTTCTCCCTCACTGTACGGATGTACTTAGCTGAATGGATCATGGAGAAGATGTGGGAGTTTTAGGAGCTGAAGCCTAATTGGAGGAAATAGATCACTAAGGACATGACTTTGAAGGGCAGATCATGCTCCCAGTCCGTTTTCCTTTCTCTTCACTTCCTGACCATCATGACGGGTGAGTGGCTTTGAAACACCACAACCTCCTACCAAGAAACCTTACTTTCCCACAATCCTAAAGGTATGAGACCTGGTATCTCTTGTACAGCAAACCCAAAGTGTATTACAAGAAGCAAAATAAAAGCAAGATATTAAGAAACAGGGTGACAGGTCTTTTGCAAGTGGGAGAAGGATCAAGAGATACCAGAAATGAGGAAAGACTGAATGAAAAGCAAAAAGAGTTAAGAAATGTTATGTATATGCACCAACTCCCCATGATGAGTGTAATCATCATACAGTACAAATATGTACTATTATAAGTAAAAAACAAAATAAGTAAAGTAATAAGATCAAGCGATCATGGATTGAAACCTCCGAAAACTTCAGCCAAAACAACTTCTTTTTTGCATTACTGGAAATTAAATGGAAAATCTTTGCATTAAGTTGCATTCTGCATCTCTTTTGTATGTTTCTATTTTGAGGCAGGGTCTATTTAAGTCATTAAATTATCCAGGCAGGGCATGAATTTGGAATCTGCCCACTCAATTATTTCCTCTTTTTAAGTTGACTGTCTCTGGTATTGCATAACAGTGACTGGAAGGTGACTAATACAAGAAAAGATTCCCCATTTCTGTCTGTCACAGAATCCCTGTAGCTTTTAGCTTTCCATATTTATTTTTCTGCATAGTTTTTCACTAACAAGAACATTATCAATGGAATCCATAGAGAAAACATATTCTTTTTCAAACTTTGATATGAATTCCAGCCCTTTCAGCTGTTAGGTTTGTCCTTAATGTAACTTTTTAGCTGAAAGCCAGGCTGCACATTTCTAAAATTGAAATATAGAGATCATCCAGGATTTTATGTTGACTTTGGAGAAAGATATGTAAAGCACTTGGAATATATAATAAACACTGGAAAAAAGGACATTTCATTACATTACATTTTTATTCAATATAGAGAAAAATATTTCTAATTTTAAAAAAATAGAAAAATCTATATTTTTAATTTTGTAGAAAAAAATTTAAAACCTAGGCTTTTTCAACATTTTTGAATTAATATTTATTAAAATTTCTGATTTTGAAATGCAAAATTCAAGCTAAATGTACTGAATTAATTTGCTTTGTGTCCTTTTAGTTTACCTTTTTTACTCTGGGAAACTCCGTGTAATCTTGTCATTAAAATCTTAAATCTGCAGAGTCAAATTAAAGTGAGATTTTGCACAGATGCCAGGAGGTCTTATCAAGATAAGACAAATCTTACTTTGAAGTATATATAAAGAATGAAATGAGTTAAACACCCAATTTATAGTGATTGAAATAAAATCTATAGTAGGTGTGCCTTGGCGTTTCAGCCTCTAATCCACCTTGGAATGATTTTAACAAGGAGGCTGGGGGAGGAGCATAGGTCATTCAAACCTACGTCCACATGTATTCACATGATGGTGTGAGTCACTTTGGAAAGTTGAACCTGTTCCTTATGGACAAGCTGTCAACATTAAAGAGTGAATGTTTATCCCATTCTCTGGTGTAATTTAGGAGGCAATAATATTTAAAAAATCAGAATATTTAAGGAAATTTTGTGCATATATGGTGATACTGAAAGAAAAAATATTATAAGGAGGCCTGCCTGCCACTAGGGTCTTCTGAAAAATGATAAGTAACTACAAAATGAAATAAACGTTTACCGCAGAACATTACTGTACCACAGAAAATGATGCACAGGATGGATAAACAAGCAAATGAATAAAGGTATTTATGGATTAATGGACAAATGAATGGAAAGAACTAGAAAAGAATTTTACTGAAACATAAAGCAATAATTTGCCTTACAGTAAAAGTCTGATTGATTAAGACGGAAAAGATGATAGAAATTGGAAAAAATAATACTTAGAACTCACTCTAGGAAACAAAATTTCATGCAAAATTATCAATACAGTAGGCTGAAAAAGAGTGAGAAACAAGATTGTTATATAAGCTTAAAGTAGCCTTCAATGTGAATGTTATTAATTGTATGTGGAAAATGTGGACTTGACTTTGATAGTAACACGGAGACACCATGTTTACCACGTGGAAAAATTTCAGCTTTTGTCTCACAATGGTACATCACTCAACAATAAGAAAGATATATCATTCCAACTATATTCTTCTTCAAAACGCATAGCTTGGGTTTAAACTTAAGAAAATATCAGACAACCCCAAACTGAGGAGTATTGTAGAAACTAACAGGTTCATCCTCTTCAAAAGGATCTATCTCATGGAAAATGAAAGTTGAAGGTCTATTCCAGATTAAAGAAAGAGAAATGACATTACAACTCTATGCAATGCGTCTCTGAGTTGGTTAAGAATATTACTGATACAATTGACTTAAAGTTAATGTGGCCTTTAGATTAGACTGCAGTGTCCTTAGAGTTGGTTTTGCTCATTGTAATTTGATTAAATAACAAAATGTACACTAGTGCTTTAAAATGTTAGGGCTTTATGTCTGCAACTTGCTCTCAAATCAGAAAAATGTAGCCGTAATTATGTTATATTTGTATCTGTGTTTCTATTTATAATCATGGCCACATCAAAGAAGAAGATGAGGGAGAGGAAAAGAGAAAAAGAAAAAAGGGATAAGGCATGCCCGGGTGGTGAAAGGTTAGCATTGCAGGGAACCCCCTAAGATATATGGAAACCCTTTTTAAAATTTTTGTTTATGTGTGAAATTATTTCAAATATAAACATGGAGGGCCAAGGATATAGCTCACAGCACCTGGCTGGCAAGTGCAAGGTCCTGAATTTGCTTCCTGGTACCTAAATAAACAAATAAATAAATGTGGAAAATGCAAAAACAAGAAGAAGGATTTTTAAAAAGAGTAAAAGAATAAAAGAGAAGTCAAAACAATCTTCACAGAAGATCTTATACTTCAACGTCTCATTTCCTGATGTTTCATGATATTCATAATAATGCAAATGTGAGCTTGCTGAATGAATATAATTTGTAGGAGAAAACAGAAGGCATCAGGGTTGGGGAATGCATGACACGTAAATGAATGCACGGCCTTACTAAGCTACGTGAAGGCAAGACCTGATCTTTAGTTCACTAATGTTCAAGTTCTCGTAAAATTGGCAGCAGGCAGAAAAGGTTTGACAAAAATACATCAAAGTAATAATGTACAATATTTATTTTAATTATTTAACCTTTAGTCTCTTGCTTTCTAGTCATCTTAATGCCATCTTAAAATATATCTGTTAAACCATCTGAGTATCATAAAAATGTAATTATTTTGACACGGTAACTTTTTTTAAAAGGGAAAACTAAATTGTCTGAGAACTTAATTTTGAGTATTATGAAACACAGGCATCTCTCCACTGGCCAATTCTAAGGAAATGTGTAGTTTGCTTTTTTTTTTTTTTCTTTTCCCCTAGTGAACAATTTAAAAGCCTTTAAACATTACTTAATAGC